CCCGCCCCTCTCTCCCGCCCCGTCCGGCCCCACCCCGCCCGTCACCCGCGGGTTCCTTCCGGACGCCCCGGCTACTGGCAAACTCTTCCTGCAGGAAGCATCGGTTACGCAGGTTGGCCACGCCACAACGCGTCTGCTACCCGCCTTTGCTGGAAAATGGGCCGCAGAATATAGGTATTCTCGGACTCCCCAGCGTTCTTCTCAGTCTCAGGCAACTCTTCGACCGCAGAGAAGGACGTGCGCATCGGGAACGATGCGGCGACCGACATGGCCTAAGCTTCTTGGCCCCGTATTTCTCCCGAAGAAGGCTTAGCTCGCGGCGCCACGGAGCTGGGAAATGGTCGCCAGGGCGACAGCGCCGCCTTTGACCCTATGTGCGGCGGCTGCGCACTCTGCGCTGTGCGACCCGCCCTTCTTGTCGTGCTCGCACTGCCCTACCTGCGCCTGCGCGCCGGATGCTGGACCAGAACCGGCGGAGCTCCAGTGACCATAACTTCGGCAAAGACTGGTTTGTTTCTGTTCCGTTTACAAAGCACTTAAACACGCGTCAGCTCTTATTAACCGCGCTGCAATCTTAGAAAGTGACGCAGAACCTGAGGCCCGTAGAGGCCCAAGGATACACAGCTAGTAAGCAGCCGGTGAAACTGAGCTGGACCCTGGGGTGAGGGGTGGGGGGCGGTCCATCGACAGATCCTGTGTTCTTGGCTTCTTGCTTGTGAAAAAAGCTTTAGTCTCCTAGGCCTTTCCGAGTTCTAAAGAAAAGACTAGCAGTTAATGTTTCTAAAAATGGAAAATCAGTCAAGCAAGAAAAGTAATCATAAACAATAGGTCAGCCATGAAAAGAGTTACAGGATTCCTATCTTCCCCTTAAGGGATATAGGTAACCTTCTGATGCACATTCTTTTTTTTTGATGGTTGTACAACATTATGATTGTATTTATACCGTTGAACTGTACACTTAAAAGTGGTTAAGATGAAAAATTTTGTTATGTGTATTTTACCACAAATAAAATAGGGGGAAAAAGTACCTAAGGTGATTGATAACCTTTGTCTCCCGCTAAGAAAACATTGCCCTCATCCACTGCTGATGCACATTCTTAAATTGTTTTCACAGAAACCAGGACCCCCACCAGATGGAAACTGCTGACCGCAAATGCTAGACCATAAACTGGCTGGAGCCAGAGATTCGATGATTGAGATTCCTGAAACTTCACCCAGTTACCTCACCACTAACCAATCAGAAGAATGTCCAGGAGCTGATCACACACCCTGGAACCCTCACCCCTAATGTTGCACTGAAAGCCATTGGGGAATATGAGTCTTTTGAACACTAGCTCCCCATCCTCCTTGTTTGTCACCCTGCAATAAACGCTGTACTTTACTTCACCACAACCCAGCATCAGTAGATTAGCATTCTGCAATATTGGCAGAATCGAGCAGTTGCAAAAAGAGACCATATGGCTCTCAAAGTCTGAAATATTATCTGGCCAGGCAAAACTATATAAAAAAAACCAAAAGATAACTAAGTGAAAAAATATATAATCTGGGCCATTACAGAAAAAGTTTGTGGTGTACTGATCTAATCCATAATTGCCAACCTGCAGTTCCCCCAGCCTCACCACACTCCTGCTCCAGGGCAAAAGTCAGGAAGGAGCAAACTTAGTATGCCTTTCCTGCTTATGAGCACCAGTCCTGGTCCTATTTTAGAAAGCTGTATTATCCTGCCAGCTTCAAAGACTAAGAAGAAATTCCCCCAATATGCATCCTGAACAAAGATCCCAAAACAGGAGAGAGGGAGGTGCTCTGCTTTCCACATTCCACAATGAAGGAGCTGTGGCATCACAGTTCTCCACCCACAGCATCCTGTGTCTCCCCTTTTGAGCTTCTATTTCCTCTGCTGGGAAAACACTTCCTTCCCTCTTTGCTGGGCTAACCATTTCAAGAATCAGTTCAAACATGACTGATGCCTTCCTTCATCTCTCACAGATCCTCTCCTTAGAGGTTCCTGGTTCCTTCAAGCTCTCATTACATCCTGGGTTGACCTCTAACATGGTCCCTACCATATGACATTCAAATTATTAGTAGATGAGTTTCCCTAACATGACCATGAGCTCTTCAAGGACAGGGCAGGGCCCAAGGGCAAGGACCATGTCTCAGTCATTTTTGAATTCACAGCATGCATGGCAGTGCTGAGCACACAGTGGGCACTCAGTATATACCACTTATTGAATGGCACTGAACACTGGTGGATTAGTCAGCTCAGGCTGCCATAACAAAATACCACAGACTGCGTGGCTTAAACAATGGAAATTTATTTTCCGGAGGCTGGAAATCCAAGATCAAGGTGCCAACAAGGTTGGTTTCTACTGAGGCCTCTCTCCTTGGCTTGCAGATGGCTACCTTCTGGCTGTGTCTTCATGTGGCCTTTTCCTCTGGGCTCCCATGGAGAGACAGATCTGGTATATCATCCACTTTCTTTTTCCCCACATCTCTTTAGCATATACTAAATTCTCACAAATATTCAGTTCTATCTCTGAGCTCCCTAGTCTGATGCATAAATTTGTCTGTTTAATGTACCACACTGTTTGAATTATTGTAGCTTTATATTAGCTTTTAATATCTAGTAGAGTTAGTCCCACCTCACTGCCTTCTTCAGAAGTTTCCTGGCCAAGCTTATTCATTTTTCATGTGAACTTTAAAACCAGCTTATTCCATATCCTATTCCACCAAATCTCAGTGATTTTATTCATCATGTTAAATTTATAGATTAGTTTAAGGGCATTTATATTTTATGATCCAAGTTCATGGCATGCCTTTATATTTGTTCATTTATTTTGTATCCTTTAGTAATAGTTTTCTTCAATAAGTATTTCACATTCTTGTTTTGTTGGTAACTAGGTTTTTTTTTTCCTTTTTTGTTTCTAACGTAAATGGGAGTTCCCCATCTCCATACCATTTAACTGCTTGTTGTTTGTATACATGAAGATTTTTGATTCTGTATATTTATTTTGTACCCAGACATAGTATGAAATTCTCTTATTGTTTGTAATATAATTTATTTGGGTGCTCTAGATGTGTAATCATATTGTCTGAATATAATGATAACTTTACCTTCTTTCCTATTTTATATCTGTTAATTTCCTTTTGAATACTTGCTTGGGCTAATACCTCAAGAACAATATTAAATGATAGTGACAATAGTGAGTGTCATCATCTTATTTGCAACCTGAATGAGATTGTTTCTCGTATTCCTTCATTAAGCATGATGCTGACTTTTGAGTTGAGACAGATATGTTGTATTATGATAAGGAAGGACCTGTCTTTTCTCATTTTCTTAAAGAGTTTTATTAAGAATATATGTTGAATTTTATCAAATGCCTTTTCAGCATTTATGAAGAAAACCATTAGGATTTTTTCCTCCTTAAATATATTAATATAGGTGAATAAACTTTCTGAAACTTAATCATGCTTTTATGCTGGAAATACACTCTACAATGTCATTTTTTTAGGTATAATTGACATATAACATTAGATTTATTTCAGGTGTACAATATATTGGTTTGATTTTTGTATATATTGCAAAATGATCACCACAATAAGTCTCATTAACATCTGGCACCATACATTAGTTACAAAAAAATTTTTTTTCTTGTGGTAAGGACTTTTAAGATCTATTCTCTTAGCAACTTTTAAATATGCAATACAGTACTATTAACTATAGTCACCTTGTTGTACATTATATCCCCATGACTTAACTATTTTATAAGTAGAAGTTTGTACCTTTGACTCCCTTCACCCATTTCTGTCACTCCCCAGGCCCAGCTCTGGCAACCACTAGTCTGTCACTGTACCCGTGAACTTGGTTTTGTTGCTATTGTTGTTTTAAATTCCACATGTAAGTGATATCATATGGTATTTGGCTTTCTCTGACTTATTTCACTTAGCATAATACCCTCTAGGTCCATCCATGTTGTCACAAAAGATTTCATTTTTCTTATGGCTGAAGAGTATTCCATTGTGTGTGTGTACCATATCTTCTTTTTTTTTTTTTTTTTTCCTTTTTTGCGGTACGTGGGCCTCTCACTGCTGTGGCCTCTCCCGTTGCGGAGCACAGGCTCCGGATGCGCAGGCTCAGTGGCCATGGCTCACAGGCCCAGCCGCTCCGCGGCATGTGGGATCCTCCCAGACCACGGCACGAACCCGTGTCCTCTGCATCGGCAGGCGGACTCTCAACCACTGCGCCACCAAGGAAGCCCCCATATCTTCTTTATCCATTAATCCATTGGTGGACACTTGGGTTGTTTCCGTGTCTTGGCTATTGAAAATAATGCTACAGTGAACATGAGGGTGCAAATATCTTTTTGAACTAGTGTTTTTGTTTGCTTCAAGTAAATACCCAGAAGTAGAATTGCTGGATCATATGGTAGATCTTTTGTAATTTTTTGAGGAACCTCCATACTGCTTGCCATACTGGTTGCACCAGTTTACATTCCCACCAACAGGGCACAAGGGTTCCTTTTTCTCCATATCCTCATCAATATTTGTTATTTCTTTCCTTTTTGAAAATAGCCATTCTAACAAGTATAAGGTGATATCTCATTATGGTTTGGAGTTGCATTTCCCCGATGATTAGTGATATTAAGCATCTTTTCATGTACTTGTTGTCTCATCCTCTTCTCATAAGGATGCCAGTCTTATTCGATTAGTGTCCCACTCTTATGACCCCATCTAACCTAAATTAGCTTCTTAAAGGTCCTATCTCCAAAGTCACACTGAGGGCTAGAGCTTCAACCTATGAATTTTGGGAGCACATAATTCAGTCCATTAAGCTAGTGAACTTGAATTTAGAAAGTAGGGGGTCAGGTATTGAGTTCACCTGAACCTAACTGACTGCTTTTGAGCAGCAAGTCCATTATCCTCTAGGAGCCTCAACTTCATCTGTAACATGCGACCAATTTTATGGGGCTTTTGAGAGGCTGAAATGAGATCATGGCTGGAGGACATTTTATGGACTATAAGTTCCTACACAATAATAATGATAATTATTTCTTCTACTAATATATCATCTTGCAGTTTACAATGTGATTTTTTTTTAATTTATTTATTTATTTGGCTGCATCATGTCTTAGTTGCAGCATGCAGGATCTTTTTGTTGCAGTGCGCCAGCTCTTTGTTGCAGCGCTTCTCTAGTTGTGGTGCGTGGGCTCCAGAGTGCGCGGGGTCAGTAGCTGCAGCACGCAGGCTCTCTAGCTGTGGTGCGCAGGTTCTAGAGAGCGCGGGCTTAGTTGCCCCACGGCATGTAGGATCTTAGTTCCCTGACCAGGGATCAAATCCTTGTCCCCTGCATTAGAAGGCAGATTCTTAACCACTGGAAGTCCCTACAATGTGATTTAAAATGCATTGTATCATTCAACATACAGGCAAGGAATTAATATTGTTAATATTACTACATGACTACCTAAAAGGGAAATTTGTTTATAATTCATACCCACTCTTGCAGAAAAGATTCAAGGCAGCTCATGATAAAAACACTCACGTTTAAGAAGGAATTACCAGGACTTCCTTGGTGGAGCATTGGTTAAGAAACTGCCTGCCAATGCAGGGGACACGGGTTCGAGCCCTGGTCCAGGAAGATCCCACATGCCTCGCGACAGCTAAGCCCATGTGCCACAACTACTGAAGCCCGTGCGCCTAGAGCCCGTGCTCCACACCAAGAGAAGCCACCGCAGTGAGAAGCCTGCGCACCGCAACCAAGAGTAGCCCCCACTCGCCACAACTAGAGAAAGCCCGCGCAGCAATGAAGACCCAACTCAGCCAAAAACAAATTAATTAATTAATTAATTTTTTAAAAAGAGGCCATTACCTGTTACTTCTCACAGAGGCTGCAGAAAAGGCCCAGGAGGCTGTTGAGGAAATGAATGACCACCAGGAGAATCTGGAGGAGGCTGATGCACAGAAGGGCGGAGAAGAAGCACACGTGCCAAATGACAGCTTTAGAAGGCTCCAGGCAGACAGAGTTCCAGAGTGAATGGTCATACAAATAGTTCCTACCCCCAAAAATAAGGAGACCAGGGGTTGGAATAAGTAAGAAAATCCCAGCAACCTTGATAGGAACCTGGGTTCTCCCTCAGCTCAGGTCGTAGGACTAGACTTTTGAGGGTGACTATGGTTGCATTTGCAATTTTCTGAGCATCAGAGAAGCAAGATGCTAGAACGCATGACTAAAAGGAGTTTGTAGTCCCTTTCTGTGTCTTTCTTTCTCTGAAGAGACTACAAATCCAAGTTCCCATCCATTTACCTGTTATGCAGGTCTTTGAATGGGTAACCATGTTTCCAAGCCTGTGTCTGATTGAAGGGCGAAACATCGAACATGCAAAAAGGACCATCTTTCAGGGCTACTCCAGAAGTGATAAAGCAAATCAAGGCTCCAAGAAAAGCCAGGCCACTTGACAACAGAGCAGTAAGCATCTGCAGAAGGAGAGAAGAAACAGTGAGCCTGAGAGGGGGTCGTGACTTGTGGGCTGATCTGGACAAATCTAACTTCTCTGGTGCTCAGGCCTTCCCCAGTCATGGGGATGATCCTACCCATAGCAGCTCCTTTAAAGCATAGCCAAGGTAGGGCTGGCTGATGAGGGGTCACTGGGTAGAGCCAGTAGGGGGTGGGAAAGAAGGAATGGAGAAGGGGGCAACACTGGCACCTGGTCCCAGCAGCAGGTTCAGCCTGATTCAGCAGGCTCTTCAGAGCTTCTCAGCAGATTGGCATCAAAAACGTTGTCACTCAGACTGCAGTCATTCAGTCTCTGGCTTAAAGGGTCAGATTGGTTATCGCAAGCCCCCCTCTGACCCTTTTAAAAGAAAGCTGTATTTTTTCAAAAGTTCCAAGCTGCCATCCCTGATTCCTCTCTTTCTCAGATCAAGCATGAAAGGAAGGAAGGGAAGAAGAGGGGAAAGAAGGAAGAAAAGGAGGGAGGGAGGGAGGCAGAGACAGAGAGAAATTACAGTCAACTCTGAAATGACTCGAGTTCTGTCATTGTACTTTTCTAGTCTGTGCACCACTCATTTCCTTCCCAAAAGATAGCAATGTGTTTATTTCCTTGGCAGGATTCTAACTTCCAGATTGGTTTCTTTCTCAGGATACCAGATTTATTTTTCTCCTTACCAAAAAACACATATTTTAAAATAAAACATATATGTGTGTGTGTGTGTGTGTGTGTGTGTGTGTGTGTGTGTGTGTGTGTATATAGTTTTTATACAGAATCAGAGTCATTTTCCCACTGATGTCAAACTGGTTTAGAACTCGAGAGGGGCCGCAGAAAGCTGTGTAGTAAGTTTTGACTCTGAGTTAAAAGATTCAAGATGAATTAGTCTGGCATAAGCCTAAGACAGAGGTTCTCAAAATGTGGTCCCTGTCCCAGCAGCAGCACATCACCTGGAAACTTGTTAGAAATGCAAATTTCCCCCCTTCCCCATCTTGCTCCACCCCAGACCTACAGAGTCAGAAACTCTGGGCGTGGGGCCCAGCAATCTGTGTTTTAACAAACGCTGCAGGGATTCTGATGCACACATTCAAGTCCGAGAACCACTTGCCTAGGGGAAAACCAGACATGACTGAGAACAGAGAGTGAATGAAATGTGTGGGTGTTTATACTTAATTCTTTAAAATATAATTCTGAATCAGCAGGGTTCCCAGCATGTGGGCTGTAGATATCAAAGCAGGATGCAGAGTTACTGTAAAAAGGCCACAGATTCATGTGTCTGAGACTGAATGAGCAATATATCTTATACATTTATGTACTGAGGTTTTTCAAATATATATAGATGTTGCTGTAATTAATAAAGTGTAAATTTATTCTGGGCCTCAGCTTCATTATCTGTAAAATGGAGAGGTTAGACTAGAATCTAGTCAGCAGATGATCTCTGGAGAATCTTTCAGCTCCAAGAAAAATAGCCAGGAAATTTTCTATCAATGACACATGACTACAATGTACATAACTCATGTCCACATTGTTCAATAGGCTAAAACTAATAAGAACAGTTCATGTATAGCTGAATCGCTTTGCTATATAGCAGAAATTAACAGGACATTGTAAACTATACATCAATAAAATAAAAAAATAAAAAAGAACAGTTCCTCACGTGTGTAGACATTTATGGTTCATTAAGCACTTCCTCCCTGGACTTGATCCTGTTAACTTTCATTTTACAGAAGGATCCAAGATTCAGAAAACTTGCCCAAAAGCTTAGGGTTTTTAGACCCTTAGAGAGGTACGGTCAGGACCTGACTTCAAACCCCAAGACTGAAATTGTCTCTTTATCACTCTGCCTCTAAAGTAATAGAATGTGGGGACATTCTAGGTATTAGAAGAGTACAATCGGGTGCTTACACTTTGGCAGGGCCCACTCTTACTGAAGCAGCCATATCTCCAGCCCGTCAAGGAGATGAGGGTAGCTGCAGTGAGAACCTGGGGGAAGAGGGAAGAGTGTTAAAAAGAGATTGGGTAATTTACATCTCTAGCTGCCACCTGTGGCTGCTGAAATAGAGTGGTTAGACATCTCACATGGACTTAACTACCTACCTTTCCCAGAAGGCTTGGCTTTGACTGTCAGGACCCAGTTTTGGATGACTAGCCTAATGTGACTCTATGAATGGCAGCGTTCACACCAAGCCTGCCTAGTCCAAAATTCAGCAACATTTGACCAGTCTTCCTAGAGTCTTCTATCCCTTGGAGCTGCTATAGACCCCACAGTCAGCTTGTTAGTTCAAGCTTTTTTTCAAGGAATCAAAACACTACCCCCACCTCCACCTCGCTGCTCCACCCCTAAGGGGCACTTTGGGAGTTCACACCCAGGGAACCCCAGACACTCACCATGAGGCCTCCTCCCCAGAGCCCAGAGCCCAGCATGGCATGCCTGCCAATGAGGCCCCTCAACAGGTAGGTCACATCCCAGTTAGGAAAGAGGAGCACTGTGTTGGCCGCAGCAGCAAACAGGGCTGTAGTCCCGAGGCTCAGCCCCAGTATTTGGGAGCAGGTCCGTGAGCATGCCATCACACAGAGAGAGGACACTGTCCTGGAACCAATGGAAAGAGGGTCATGGTAGCTCTGTTACTGGGAGCTGGTGGGTAGGGGAAACCCCAGGAGCATAGGGTGAGGAGGGGGAATAGACCAGAGGCACTGTCACCTCCTAGGGTCAGATCAAGAAGAGCCAAGGAACTTGCTTAAAAACTCTGCGTCTTATAAATATTTCCCAATGTATAGAATTTAATTGCTCCATTTTCTGCTAGCTCCCACTCACACACACACACACACACATACACACACACACACACACACACACACACACTCCTCATCCCATCATAATTTGCTTGTACCTCTATTAAAGCCAGTGATCATTTCTACTTGACACAGAAAAACAAACAAAAAAATTTTTTTGAAGATGTTGGGGGTAGGAGTTCATTAATTAATTAATTTATTTTTGCTGTGTTGGGTCTTCGTTTCTGTGCGAGGGCTTTCTCTAGTTGTGGCAAGCAGGGGCCACTCTTCATCGCGGTGCGCGGGCCTCACACTATCGCGGCCTCTCTTGTTGTGGAGCACAGGCTCCAGACGTGCAGGCTCAGTAGCTGTGGCTCACGGGCCTAGTTGCTCCACAGCATGTGGGATCCTCCCAGACCAGGGCTCGAACCCGTGTCCCCTGCATTAGCAGGAAGATTCTCAACCACTGCGCCACCAGGGAAGACCAAAATACAAAAATTTAAAGGTGTCATCCTCTTGCTTTAAAAGACATCATTTTAAAGACGTCCGCTGTTACCACTTCCATTCAACATTGTACAGGAGGTCCTTTCCAGTGCAATAAGAAAATAAAAAGCAGCAAAAGCCATAGGCATGAAAGAAAGAAGTAAGAATATCATTATTCACAGTAACATGATTATCTGTGTAGAAAATTGTAAGGAATCTATCAAAAAGTTAATAGGTGAGTTCAGCAAGGTTACCAAATAAAAAATTAAATATACAAAAATTCTATTGTATTTCTATATACAAGCAATGATAAATTATAAAAGTTAAAAAACAACATCATTTACAATAACATAAAAATAGAAAATACTTATGGATAAATTTAACAAAATCTGTGTAAGACCTGTACACTAAAAATTATAAAACATTACTGAGAAAAATTAAAGAAGACCCAAATAAATGGAGAGATATACCATGTTCATGAATCAAAAGGCTTAATATCAGTGCAATCTCAGTCAAAATCCTAGCAGGTTCTGTCGTAGAAACTGACAAGCTGAATCTAAATTTACATGGAAATGCAAAAGACCTAGATTTTTCAAAACAATGTGTAAAAGAAGACCAAAGTTGGAGGGCTTACATCATGTGATGTTAAGACATTATAAAGCTACAGTAATCAAGACAGCAAAGTAATGGTGTATACAGACATGCAGACCTCTGGAACAGACTAGAGAATTCAGAAATAGAGCTATACAAATATGATCAAATGATTTTTGAAAAAGATGGTATTTTAGTAGGAAAAGGAGAGTCCCTTCAACAAATGATGCTGGAACAATCCATATGCAAAACAAAAATATATACTTTGCCTATTACTGCAAACCCTATTCAATAATTAACTTGAAATGGACCATGGATCTAAACCTAATAAAAATTTTACGAGAAAATCATCGGGATTTTCGGTTAGATAAAGATTTATTATATAGAACACAAAAAGTACAACCTAAAAAGTGATAAATTAAACTACTTCAAAATTAAAATTTTGCTCTTCAAAAGACACCATTAAGGAAATAAAGAGACAAAACACAGGCTGGGAGTAAATATTCACAATACATATTTTGTAAATATGTATGTGAATGTGACCTCATATACATCTGACAAAGGATTTGTATCTAGAATACATAAAGAATTCTTAAGACTCTACCATAAGAAGACAAACAACTGAGGGACTTCACTGGTGGTGCAGTGGTTAAGACTCCACGCTCTCAGTGCAGGGGGCCCAGGTTCAATCACTGGTCAGGGAACTTGATCTCACATGCATGCTGCAACTAAGGAGCCCGCGAGCTGTGACT